CTCCATAGCAACACTTGGACGCCATGAGAACGTCAAAGAGAAGATTGTAGATTATTTATCTAAGAAACTATCTTCTACAAAAACCCAAGAGGAGACATCTCTCTTTATTCATGCCCTTGGTAACACAGGCTCTAGAAGGATCATTCCACTCCTCCTTCCTTTCCTCTCTGATCCTGTCAATGAAGGATACTGTGTTGATGCACTGAGAGCTGTCTCAATGGACCAAAGAGTAGAGAAAGGATTTGCTGCTATTATTTCTGAAGTTGATCCTAAACTGGTTCTTGAAGTAGTTGAGAGCTTATTGTTCCCTTTCAAAAACTCAATTTATTCCTCAAAAATAGAGGAGGACCTTTTAGTGAGTGAAGAATTGAAGGGGTCACTCATTGAAGCTGGTATTGAATATAATGATCAAGATCTGACAAAAGCTCTACTCCAGTACTTCAATACTATTGAAGATGAAGCCTCTAGTGAAAAGTTAAGACAAGGAATAGAAGATAAAGAATCAGCTAGTCGACGAAAAAGAAGCACCAGTGCCTATTGGCCCTCCACATGGGATAAAAAGTTCAACCTCATTGCATCATTATCTCAAAGATCTAGTGATGCCCGTACATATCCATACAACAAAGCTTACATGTGGACAAAGCAGGTTGGATATTCCAAGATACATGCTAACGTTGCTGCAGGTGGCTTTGGAGGAGCGGGTGAGTCTGGTATCAAACTGTACGCAAGAGCAAGAGTTGATCTAGTGGCCTGGTCTAAGACTTACATTGCCCTTGATATTATATTCTCATACGTAAAAACTTTTCCAAGTAAATCACGAAGCTCTGCTCTAACTTACAGGCGCTATATAAAGATAGTTGAATATACACTAGTTAATGAACTAAGGACAAGAACGTCTACTTATGCTAGTAATAGTGTGTACAAGTACTCTCAATCCTGGTATAGATCTTACCAAATTTTCAAATCCAGTTTCTCTTTCTATATTTATGTTGGTACACTGCGTTTAACACTGTCTAGTCGTATTGCTCTGCATACGTCATTCAAGGCTTACGTACCACGTATGGACAATATTCAAGACATGAAAGCAGCAGCAGAACTAAGAACTGGACCCACTCTCACTATTAGTGGACAAGCAGCTGCTAGAATATTGGTAAGAAAGTATTAGTGCACATAGAGGAGATTGCATTATTTTTGCAACAAGAGTAAAATTGGAAATCTGCCTTAACTTCCAGCTACTTTGTTGTTGTCCTCAATAATAAATCACTCACTTAACAAAATTTAAAAACTTTTGTTGCAAGGATTATACAATTTCCTGTAAATACAAATACTCATAGTTCTCTTTCCTTCTTCCATATTCAGGAAGTATTTGAAATTGGTCTAACTGCCTCAGGGTCTATCAGCTATCACTTAACTCCAGAGGCTTCAACCTCAGTCTGTGGGAGAGCATCATCAAAAGGAGATGCTAATGCTTGCTTTGAAGTATACAGCACTACAAGTGGAAATATTTCTGTTGCGGCTTATTGGAAAAGGAGACATCTGAAGTGTAAATGGCGCTGGGGAGTTCCTCGTTGCACTGTAAGCTATAATAAAGATTATTTTATTATTTAAAATAAAAATACAATAAGTACACAGTAACTATACAATGTGGAATCACCAACATTAGTATATCAGCCTTGTCCTTTTTGCTAGACGTAGGAGTGAAATATTATGATCCTAACTGCAAGTTCCTCATTTAACATTAATTTCTACTTTTTCTCATCATAGGCAAGGTGGGGTAGCAAGAAAAAATTTGCATCACTTTCTCACACGTGGAACCTACACAACACAAGGAAGAAGCTGAATGGTGAATGTAAGGTCTATTGGAACTCCAATATTAATAGGATCTGCAAGGAGATTACCAACCGAGGCTGAAATGAACAATGACATTAACAATTAGAGCTAGGTAGATAGATAGTTTTAGAATATTATATAGGATTAATTGTATCTTTTGTGCATGATTTCATGTAGTTTAGTGTATAGTCATTGTTTTAGTAATAAAATTAGTGTAGTACCTTAATTAAGAGGTACTTTTAGATTATTAATTGCTATGGAATCAAAATTATAATTATTAATGCATGCAATTGTGTATCATTATAAAAGTTACTTTATAGGCATTCACAACACATGTACCAACTCATGTTGTATAATGTATATATATAGGTATAAGCATCTTGCCTTTGCCCCTTGGGTTATGCCACCAAGCTCAGTACCAATACACTATCATACAGCACAAGGCAGTGTGTCAATAAAATATTACATAAAGTTTTGCTGATGATATTAATTAAAGCCACATAGTAGAGCTCATAAGAATATACTACTAGTACACTGCTCTTTACAATTCCCGTGCAATGACCTATAATAGATAGTGTATCTATAAAGTGTACCTTGATGCAGCTAATTGACATTCAGTGAGCAAGTGATGCCAATGTGGATCTATATAGACAAACAACTATTGAGTGTTGTAATATGCTTTGGCTCAAGATGAATATGATTTAAGGTAATCCAATCAGTTTGAGCTCAATAAATAGTTCAATACAGTTTGACAACCCAACGAATTGTTATTTTTAAGATATTTAAATTTTAAACTACTTTTGTTTGCTAAAGTTAATTTAGATCAAAGCATATGTTTGGTTTTATATTTTCAAATTTTTACTGCACACATCAAAAACATGCACCATTAGGTATACACAATATTCTGCATTAATTACTGATATATACTAGTGGATTGTTCATTGATATTATATTAAATGATAATCTTAATTGCTATAATCGGAGGATAGTACTTGTGTGGTTAAATTCCACAGATTTATGGACAGTAAAAATAATATTGTGCTTGTAGTTTTGATTTTTTAATTAATGTGAATATGCTTATGCTATGTTTGAATTGAAGTTCCAGGATGTGAGTCAGGTGCCACAACCTTGTTACAACTCTTAGCTATAAATACTGGCTCTTAATAGCAATATGCTAGCATTGATATGATAGTTATTATAAAAAGGTTATAATGGTAGTTTAATTACTGATTTTAGTCTTTGATACCCAATTATTAATTAATTATATATGTTAGACCATTTAAGAAGTCTAATAATAAAATTCACTTTGACTCCCTGCATGAAAATTGATAGATGTGGGTGTAGTTGAATAAATAATTACTGTTTACATTGATCATCATTCATAATTATTGTTTAAATTCATCTAATTGCAGTCACTTATCTCAAAGAGACTATAATGGGCTTTTGTTTGTTTGTAAGTAAATAAACTTTCATTGTTTTCTTGAATTAATGAATGCACTTTAGCTTTAATTGCATTTGATATACTAATGTTGCATGTGCTTATTGATAGTGGACTGTATTGGGTTATAGTACTTAGCAGTTGATTTATTATTGTAAGAGCTTTCATTTCAGTAAAATTTTTCACCTTAAATAAAATTTTTAGCTATAGCTTTACTGAGATTACCATAAAAGGAAAGCCACATAAAGATTATTAAAAAGTTATTTTATAGTGAACAATTTATTAGGGATAATCTGAATTTTAAGCTACCAAACACAATATCTAAGCAGAATTAAATATTCATCTGAACTATCAATATTGCAAATAATTTGTATAAATGTACTAATTCTGTCTCTGTTATATCATGCCTGGCCTATATTGACTATACCAAGTGGTAGGAGCAACTTCAGTTGAAAATACACCAGTGGAATCACAGAATATTTTCATACTAGAGCCAAGACTGCTAAAGGAGTAATATGAATCACTTTCTATCCATGTAGCAAAACAGGTTACCATAATGATTAACAATACATACATGCATAATTCACATTTAAAGCACATGTAATTCAAAGTTGATTATTTTGATTGATATGTATAGTTTATTATTAAAATTATACATTGAAAAGAAAGCATCACTTCACTTTTATTGAATTACACTATAAACAAATAAAAATTGGTTTATAGAACATTAAAACCATTGTAGTATTCCTTAATTATAGTACATACTGTAATCACTTGAGGAGTCACTGTCAATTCCACTCATAAATTGTTCCCTTTGATTTATGTATCTCAGATAATGATCATCAACTATCTGAACTATATTAACTTCATTCTCTCTCACATGATACTTGTAACGTTTAGCCAGTATCACAAACACTATCAGTATCATAAGAACTAGTACACTCTTTGTTATATAATAATAGAAACTAGTACATATGTATTGACTCTCACAATCAAATGGAACCTTAAAAGTAATGTTAATAATGTAGCTAATTCCACAAGATACAAACCACAATCCAACCATCACTCCTCTCATGTGTACTGGAGACTGAGCTACTGTAAATTCCAGTGATACTGGATACAGAAAAATATTAGAAACAAAGTGGATAGTTTGTGGAATAAAGAGAAGTGTACCAATATTGTTCAAGTCAGGACGAGACCTCTTAATGACAAATATGATTACTTTAGAAACTGTAACAATG